CCCCCGTGTCCCGCGGGGTGGCCGCGCGGTGACGCGGCCGTGCCCGCAGTGCGTGTTCCTGCTGTGGTGCATGGCGCCCGGGCGCTGCAGCGGCGCCCAGCTGCTCTACCAGCGCCTCATCCGGCCCTGCTTCCTCAAGCACCACCGCGCGCTGGACGCCGCGCTCGGCGCCCTGGGCACCCGCGCGCTCGACGCCGCCACCATCGTCACCCGCGAAGGTAGCGCGGCCCCCGTGTGTGTCCCCATCACGGGGCCGTGTTCCTGCCCCGTGTTCCCACGTCACCATGTCCATGGCCCCCGTGTCTCCGTGTCCCCATCGCATGTCTCCATCACGTCTCCGTCGTGTGTCGCTCTGTGTCCCCGTGTCCATGTCCCCCACCCCGTGTCTCTCTATCCTCACATCCCCATCCCGTGTCTCGTGTCCCTGTCATGTGTCACCATGTCGCTGAGCTCTTTCCCCATCACGTCTCTGTGTCCCTATCCCGTGTCACCATCACGTGTCCCGTGTCTCTCATGTCCCTCTGTGTCACCGTGTCCATGACCCTGTCCCATCTGGTGTCCCTGTCCTGCATCTCCACATCCCTGTGTCCCACATCCCTGTGCCTGTATCCCCATAGTGTGTCTGTGTCACCATTCCGTGTTCCAGTCCCATGTTCCCATATCTGTATCCCCATATCCATGTCCCTGTCCGAGTCCCATGTCCCTGTGCCTGTATCCTCATAGCGTGTCCATGTCCCCATCCCATGTCCCAGTCCTGCATTCCCGTGTCTGTATTGCCATAGCGTGTCCATGTCCTGTGTCCCTGTCCCGTGTCCCATGTCCCAGTCCTGTGTTCCCGTCCCGTGTCTCCATCCCATGTCCTCATATCTGTATCCCCATAGCGTGTCCATGTCCCCGTCCTGTGTCCTGTGTCCCTGTCCCGTGTCCCATGTCCGGTGTCCCATGTCCCAGTCCTGTGTTCCTGTCCCGTGTCCCCGTCTCATGTCCTCATATGTGTATCCCCATAGCGTATCCATGTCCCTGTCCCAGTCCCATGTCCCCATCCCGTGTCCCACATCCCTGTGCCTGTATCCCCATAGCGTGTCCATGTCCCCGTCCTGTGTCCTGTGTCCCTGTCCCGTGTCCCATGTCCGGTGTCCCATGTCCCAGTCCTGTGTTCCTGTCCCGTGTCCCCGTCTCATGTCCTCATATGTGTATCCCCATAGCGTATCCATGTCCCTGTCCCAGTCCCATGTCCCCATCCCGTGTCCCACATCCCTGTGCCTGTATCCCCATAGTGAGTCCATGTCCCAGTGCCGTGTCCCATGTCCCAGTCCTGTATCCCATGTCCCTGTATCCCAATGGCGAGTCCATGGCCCAGTCCCGTGTCCCAGGTCCCAGTCCCGTGTCCCCG